AAAACTTTAAAAGGTTTGGGGGCCTTCAAAATTTTTTGAACAGGTTTGACGTACCCCTTAAGGGAGTCTAAAGGGCCCATCAAAACGTTTTGATGGGTTCGACGTACCCTTTAGGAAAGTCTAAAGGGCCCGTCAAAAGCTTTGGAAAGGTCTAAGGGGGACCACAAAGATTTCTTAAAAGGTTTGAAGGACCCTTTAAGATTCATTGACGCGTTCCGGTCCACGTCAGTATCTTAATAAAATGCCCTTTAGAAAGTTCTAAGAGGTTTCTTTAAATACCTGTAGGGCCTTCAAACATAGCCGTCAAAGAATACAAGCAACTCACAGAAGTTTGTTAAAGTAAGACAAACTCCAGCCTGCCAGTTGTATTTGTATGCAATTTCTAATTCAACATCTTTAGTGCCTAAAATATTAAGCAAAAATTATGACTTTGCGTCTATCTTAAAGTAACAAAAACTAATCCAGTCAAGTATAACAATGTAAGTAATCAATTATTGTTTACAACCAGGAATTGTAACAATTTACTTTTAATATAAATTTGTAATTCACTACATAGTTGAAGTACCGTAAGGGTACAAGTCGGATTCAATGTGTGTGCATATGTTAGTCAGTTTTATTTAACGAGTTTAACAAAATCAAGGTACATAGAATGCACCGATACATTCACAGAAAAAGTTCAAAAAAACTCAATAACCGTAGCAATATAAGCGCACGCTGATTGTCATGCTGTAAGCTGTTGAAGTAGTGGTGGAAGAAGAGCGGAGAGGCTCGGGCGGGAAGAGCTTGGGGAAAGGACTATTCGGCTGCGATCCGAACAAGCGACCGGCTGTGCTCGGCGATGCTCCGAGCAGGCACCGGCGGGCTGAACCACAGTTTCGACAGTGAGGTGACCAATTCCCGAAACGACGGACTTCGACGGTGAGCTGACCAATTCACGCAGCGACGGACTTCGAGGGTTAGCTGACCAATTCCCGAGGCGACGGACTTCGATGGTGAGCTGACCAATTCCTGAAGCGACGGACTTCGAGGGTGAGCAGACCAATTCCCGAGGCGACGAACTTCTACGGTGAGCTGACCAATTCCCGAAGCGACGGACTTTGACGGTAAGCTGACCAATTCCTGAGCCGACGAACTTCGACGGTGAGCTGACCAATTCCCGAAGCGACGGACTTCGACGGTGAACTGATCAGGTGCGGAAGTGACCATCTTCGTTTATCGACCAAGAACCCGAAGGCTGACGTCAACTTCAAACCTACCGTCAACGGGACTGCGTATAACATTCAAATGGAATTTTGCTTTCATCCTACGTTGAAATCTTGTCTTGGTCAATCGTTTGCATCCCTCTGGGCCTGCCATGCAGCTTTTTTAAAGCTGTATTCCTGGCTCGACAGGTTTGTGAACACCTATACTCCATTTCATACTTGGTACGCAATGCTGTCAAGGCTACTGGCACAAGCATGTGACTATATGATGAGCTTTGTGCACGCCTTTGCACTTGATGAAGCCACATGCGCGTGTTAGTAGCCTTGACAGTGTTTTGCACTAATTATGAAACGGTGTATAAAGAATTCAATTTCTGAGGGGCTAATGGGTCTAAAGGGTTGATAGGTCTAAAGGATTTATGGATCTAAAGGGTTTACGGGTCTAAAGGGTTTGTGGGTCTAAAGGGTTTATGGGTCTAAAGGGTTGACGGGTCTAAAGGGTTGACGGGTCTAAAGGGTTGACAGTTCTAAAGGGTTGGCGGGTCTAAAGGGTTTGAAGTGCTAAGAGGGTCCCATAACACATCAAGGCTGATGGGTGTAGGAATGCGAGAGCATTCCTACACGCAGCGCATTTCTACATGCAGCGCGCCCCGCTGTCCGCTGCACGGAGAACAGCGGGTAGCGTGCCCGCTTCTCCGTGGGTGAGGACAGCGGGCGGCGCGCCCCGCTCCTCCGCGGCGCGACATGGCTGAAAGCAGAGCGTAGAACGCGTGAGGAGCGGGAAGTCCCCGCTCCCCCCTCTCTACGGCCACGCCTGACGCGGCGGCCGCGCCCCCGCAATACCTCATAAAAAAGAAGGCCGTAGCGCTCCGAGTCGTTACGTCACAATGTCGGAGAAGGAAGTGCATAGCGCAACTACGTGAGAAAAATGTCTGGGCATCGGCGTGAAAAAAACGTTTCTTGTCGAGCGGCGCGGGGTGTTCGTGAGCGTTTATCCGACATTAATATATGTTTTAAAAGCGCAGTATTGTACAATTTATTTTATGTATAATATAAACGTAATATGCAACGCGCTACAAAGGTTGAAAGTACCAATTTTATATTTATGATTATCCCCGTAACCGCGGGACTACGTGCAATCCCGCAGATCTCCACACTTTTCGAATGATCCGGTCTGCCGGGACGTTTTCTTCCCTCGTACGGGCTCCGATTCTGGTAAATTTACGTTGTGTTTGAGCTGCTGACTGTCTAAAAAGGAACGATGAGACTTTTAGAAGGGAAGGGAACCGAAGAAAATCCAGTCATCGCCGCAGGGAGTGCACGCGAGCAAGAGATGGGTCGACGACGTTAAGCCTCCCACACTGCTGCCGCTGCTCTCGTGTGTGTATGTGTGGTTCTGTTTATCCTTCCCGTAGTTTCTTGGTCGTCACCGCAGTCTCGGGTAGTTTTTTGTGTTCGCTTGAAACTACGGCATTTACGTAGATTCGCGGAAGAAGTACTGCTACGGTTTGAGTGACATGTGACTAGCCAACGATGACACTGGTCGATTATCGATAGACCTCTTTTTCGACAGAGAGAGGGACTTAAGTTCGTATTCAAATGTTTTCGTCACGGATATTGTGGGACGTATGGATACTAACCATGTTGAATTAACCTGAGACTGGGGTAGAGAAGAAACATCAAAACGTAGAAGGGAAAGAAAATAGACAGGACGACGTCTAAAAAAAATACGGGGTATGGATACGATCGACAGGTGACAAACAACTTATTTACGGGCTTTCTTGGTCATGTGGGACGCGATGTAAAGTGCTGCAGTCGTTTTTTTTTTCTTTTTCGTGATAGAATGGCATCTTATTTGTCGTTATCCGTGTGCGGTTCCGTCGACATTTGTAGATATGCGTGGTAATATTGTAGTTTTGACTGGAAGGTGAACAACAAGTTTGTGTGATTATACAAAGTGCGCTGTTTCTGCTTATGTGCTTATTTATACAAATGTTACTTTATTGCCTGACCCACATTTATACTAGAATCTTAACTGTATATTCAGGTAATAGTATTATTGTATATAGAATAAGATATTTTGTTCAAAGGCAGCTCGAGCTCATAGGGTGAAGTAAATTAGTTGACTGTAAATAGTAAGTGGAGTACCCCTGCCACACGGAGAAGTTAATATATTTTCATTAAATGATATGGGACTTGATCAGCTCGCTCTCTGGAGTGATTATATGAGCGTCGCAAGCAGATTTGTCGACCCCATAATGTAATTCGATCGAAATTACATTACTTTTGCCATGTGGCCGGGATGTAATGCAAGAATTCAGTAACTGCACGCGATAACATCGCTTACATGATCGTGAGTGACATTTGTCTAGCCGTGTCCGCGTTGACTACGTCTACCTGATTTTTAACTGTGATATGTTTTGCTGTGTCTAATCACGGCGTGTCTCGCTATTTTGTCGTAGTATTTCTGTGCAAAATATGCATTCCTACAGCAATGATTGCGTGACTCAATGTTTTCTCTTATACGCCTACCTCGTACCATTTCATACCGATTATTTAGCGGTGTAATAGTTTGCCCGTGTAATAAAATATTTTCGAGACCCCTTCCTATGTGCGGCTTTCATTTTAGCTAATAAGACACGCGTATGTGACTAAAAACCCGTTACGACGGTCGATCCACGCGCGTTGCCTTCGCTTCGACGCGCGCCCCCGATGGCCTTCCTTCGCGACGTCACGAGAAGAGCGCTACGGCCTTCTCTTCTCGGAGGCGTTGGCCCGCGCCACCCTCTCCACTTTACCCAAGCATGGGCCGCAGCGCCAGGAAGAGGTCTTTTCTGCGGAGTGGCGTTCCTTGGAACTATGACGCGTGGCAGATATGTTAACAGCCGTTTATTGAGCCGTTCTCGGCGGTCACGGACCACGCCGGCGGCGCTCCAGGGTACAGTTAAAGCTGCCGCATTAGTAAGCTTGATTTAAAAGATTAAAGAGTCCGAATACATTATTAGTTGTCAATAGAAGTGTACATTTTAATATCATTATCAACATTGTTAATTTATAAAAAAAGATTCCTTTTAGGAATAAATCTGACTACGTCCCTTGAACTTCATTCATTATATACAAAAAAGTCGCGATTGGGAGGCACTTTGCAAGGACACGCATTGTTTTCTGCTAATACTAAGAACTTGCTCTTAAAATGTATCTCATCAGCAGCAAATAATCCGCCATTTTGCGAATTTTCCACGTTTATTCATCGTGGTAGTTTGCTCATCTACCGTATATCCATATTTTATTTTTCCTTCTCAAACGACGCAAGGCGCGTTGGCACACTTCCCTTTTGCCTACGACCGAGTTCTTGCGATCTCTTCCGGCGAGATGACATACACTGGCACACTGGCGCCATCTATGAGGTGGTCCTGAAACTATATTTTACTAGAGCAAAGGTTTTGCGGTATTCACGAGCTCAAACGTATGCATGTACTCTCTATAATAGGCGGTCGCTTAAAACATTGTCATAAGTATTTTTTCAAGTTAAAAAAAAGAAAGAAAGATTATTTAAAAAAAATGGAAAATATGCGAAAATGCCGACGGTTCCACGGCTATCCGATAGATGACGCCAGTGTATTTTCTTGTCGGAAGAGATTTTAAGAAGTTTAAAGCCATACAGTCGTAAGCACTCGCCAGTGTGTGACCCAAACTTAAGCGCGTTGTAATTATGAATGCTTAATATAGACAGAATAAGAACAAGGAAGATGCAAACATTAATTATATTACAATTGTTCGGTGCTATTTTGAAAAGTTTCATTGCCAGGGGCCCCACAAGCCATGGTTGTATTTTGGCAGTCCCCTGGGGTCCAGCGGCTTGTTTGCAGGCGGCACCATTCCCTTGGCGTACTCCTTAATCTTCTTGATGAGCTCCTCAAGTTCCTACGAAGAATAAAAACATATCGCTTTATATGTAAAATATGTTCTCGACTAAAGAAATAATGTTTTGAGTCATGGCAGAACCATTTCAAGGCATGTTATATTGGCGAGTAACGTAGAGGGAGACACAAAGTCCTGTCGCATTCCTCGCGTATAAAACTTTCGTTATATTTGAGGGTACAAGATAAGGTTGTACATTGCTAGGAAATGGTCACGCGAAGAACGAATTACAGCTTTCAGTTTATTTGATATAAGCTGCGTAAATTACTTAACGAATTAGATAGTAGTAAGCTGGATTTAGTTAAAATACCATCCAAACAATTGAAGAATGTTTCATAAATGTTCATGGGTAAAGTAGTGTTTTTCTGTCCTAAATTCATTACTTCACGAAGTGTTTGTTCTTTTTGGCTTGGTATATGTGTACTGAACACCTGTTTTTGATTTCAGATATGATCGACCAAAGGTTGGCTAGTCGACATTTTAAAATCAACTGATGTTTTTATATGTTATTGTCTAGTGTCTGGTATGAACGAATCCAAACTTAGTTTTGACTAGAAAAAATACTTGGGGACAGGAAAAATCGTAATGCATGAGGTGGTGGACAGTTGCATTAACGCGCACTGATGGAGGGGGCCCGTTTGAGAGTGAATAACTAAAGCGATAACATTAGGAGAACTCTAATACGTTTTAGGCGCAAACTATGGGTATAGCTTGCTTGTAATATAAAGTAATCATATTTATTTAAAATTTATTTATTTTTCTAAAAATTGACAAACATGCCTGCTCGAACGACAAATGGCCAAATTTGGAGGTCTGTATCTCATGAAATAATTTAATCATTATGATATAATTTGCAGATATTATTCTACTAATATATAGCTAATATTAAAAAAAATAACTAAGGTATCTGTGTGATACAATAGTTAGGATATATTTAGTCAAACATGGAAAAAATATCAAAAAGAAAAATTCCGATGCGAATAAAAAAAAAAACACCACCCTCGATTTTTTTAAAATTTAGGTAACCTGTTATACTCTATTTCGGCATTCATTTCCATTAAAAACATGTTGCATCATTTTATTGAGAAAGAAGATACAACTCCCCAAAGTAGGGTCCTTTTTCAAAGCCTACACTTAGCAGTGTTTTATACAAGAACTGACTCTGAGTTCCAGTTTCATGAAACCAACACACATCTTTTATATATTTTTATTCAGATGAGGCCAATGATAACCAAAGAAATCGTTCACACACTTAAATTAAGGAGAAACTACTGTGTACAAAGAGGTATCATATTACGGACTAGTGATCCGAGAAAAGATCATGCAGCCATCGGCCACTAGGAACTTTGTTTACTTTATTCTCCTGCGACACTATATGCTATTCCCTCTTCCGCTTTACCTTCATCTCTCTCTCTCTCTCTCTCTCTCTCATATATATCCCTGATATATATCCCGAACAAAAACATGTTCAAGCATTCCCTTTCTGCGTGGTAGTGTTCTGTGGCTAGCAAAAATCATTTCCTCGCTAAGCTCACGATTATGGCAAAATAGTTGCCGGAAACCGCAGACGACACTCGTCGCTAGTTCTGGCAAAACGGCCGATACAATCTTTTTTGCGCATTTCCCCGCTCGCTGTCAAGGACAAGGGGGTTCGCTTCAACCAGCAAAACATGGCCGCCGACGCCTGTTTACTGAGCAGTCATGCCTGTCGCCATCTCACTCGCTGGCGTCACGGGCGATAATATCAGGCACAAAGGGGTACACCAACCGGCAGCATTATCCCCAAATACTCGAGCCTCGCGTAAATACATAGTGTAAACACTGTCGCCATGTTATCGTAGTAAGACCGCCCCCCCCCCTCCCCCAACGGGGGACTGCAGTACGCGACGGCGTACTAACACAACGGCGACGATATCGACATCGCGGGCTCCGAATTTTCCCATAGTTCTACTCCACGGGCATTTCTCGAAACGCTTGATATTGTGTACGCCCGCCTGGAAGGATTTCAGGCGCGTAGTTAAGATAAGGCGGTTCTCCGCGGCAAAAGAAAGTAATTTCACAAAAGCTTAAAAGCGGCGGCGACGCGTGTGCGGTGAACGCTTGTAGTTTTGGTGTAGACAGGGTGTGTGTGTTCTCGTTGTTGACACCAGCCGGCGATAAGGCACTGCAGGCGGTAGCTCAGTACAGCAAGGGCTAATCCGAGTGACCATCAACGTAACCCCACCGCCAACCCCTCGCGAACCGGTCGCCGACATGGATCAGGCTGTGTCATGAACCACGTGGTAGAAGCTCGGGTGCTTTCATATCAGCGCGTGGAGGGACGACAGTGCAATTCCGGAAAGTCTTTTTCGAAGGCCGCTGACCACAATTTTTTGTCTGGAGACTTTCCCTCTTTCTTCCTTTGTTGTGGATCAAGCTTTGCCGACAGCCTCAGTTGTGACCTCTCTTTTCAAATGTACGTTTGCAGTGAGTGAGCTCCTCAGCCTCGGACTTGTCACTTGTGCACCCAGTAGTTCTTTCACTTGGCAATTATATGCCATCAGTTGGGGTTTAATTTCTATTATTTATGTATACATTATGAAGACGTCCTGGAGCTCCGAACGAGTGTTTTGTGCAGATTACTTTTGCAAACACAAAAAGACTATACCAAAGCAGCGGAATTTTCGAAGTGTTGGCGAGTTGGACCTAAACTCGTTGAAGCAAATTCTTCCGCCTGACTGTTCCACCAAAGTGAGTGCGACGGACTACCTGTGCTACCATTGCTTCATGCACATCACTAAGGAGATCTCGATGCGAAGCTCAGAGCAGTGCCCTGACATATTTGTGCCAGCTGAAGAAGCAATTGAAGATCTAAACCGCAGCATACTACCTACAGATGTGTCGCCGCTGAGACAACCAAGCGTCGTAAGAAGTCGGGACAGGCCTGCCTATGTCAAGAGAAAGCAGACAGAACTGGAGCAGGTTGCTGTCAAGAATATACGCTCAAGGCTACGTATTGCGTACGACAGGGACGCACCATCGGGGTCGTCCGAACCAACATGCTCCACATGCACTGAGTGGGTGGACAACTTTCGGAAGGCCTTTGAAACCGCCACCTCTCCCCGGGAACGTTGTCAACTGCTTACACTCCTGCCGTCAACACTGACGAAGAATGAGGTTCAAAAGATGATTCCACAGGCCTCAATGTACCTCATCAGTAAATCCCGAAAACTCAAGGAAAAGCATGGCGTGTGGTATGAGCCGGATCCTTACACGAGGTGCAAGGTGAGCCCTGAGAACCTGTCTGCTGCCCTAGAGTACTTCACGAAAGACGAGCTACAATGTTCGCGCCAAAGTCCCAACCAGAAGGACGTCATCTCTGTCATGCTCAACGGAGAGAAAACGTTCGTGCCAAAGCGCTTCATGACACGCTCAATACGAGAGGCCTTCCGTATATACAAAGACAAGCATCCCGATTCCGGCGTTGGGCTAACGAAATTTTATTCTTTGCGCCCTAGATGGGTCCAATGTATTCCACACCAGGAAGTGTGCGTTTGTGTGCGCTGCGCCAATTATTATCTTTGCATTGCCGCTCTAGAGAACGTTACAGGCTCAACATTCAACACTGGTGAAATGAACTCGGCATTTCTGTGCGACCCAGCAACAGAACTGTGCCTTCAAGGAGACTGTGATCACTGCCCAAAAGGCCAGTTTCTTACACTCCAGGAACTTGATATCCCGGAGGATGAAGAGATTGTGCTTGCAACATGGGAGTCCGGCGACCTTGTGAAAAAAACTTTGGAACCTGAGACTTTTCTAAAAGTCATCCAAGTGACGGTTGAAAGTTGGTTACTTCACAACCATATCCGGCAAACGCAAGGTAAAGTGATCTACGATGAAAAACAGTGCATGCAACGCGGGAGCATTGTCTTTCATTTTGACTTTGCTGAAAACTGGACCATCGTGCTTCCTGACGAAGTGCAAGCATATCACTGGAAAAAAAAAACAAGTTTCGATATTTACATGTGTAGTGACGACAAGAAAATCTACAAACAGCTTTGCCATCATCAGTGAGGACCTGTGTCACGACGCCGCTCACGCTTGCTTGGCTCTAGAAAAAGTGAAGGAGTGGGTTGAAGACAACGTTGCGGTATACTCGTACGTGACGTTCGTAAGGGACGGCGCCACCAGTCATTTCAAGAATCGCTACCAGCTTCACCAATTTGCAAAGGACGATTGCCCACAAGCCCAGTGGTTAGTTTCTGCATCTGGACATGGGAAAAATGCATGTGACGGAGTTGGCGGACTCGTGAAGCACCAGGCCGCGCTGAACAACCTGAGAGAACGTTCAGTAAGCGCAATTCAGACGGCCAGGACAATGGTGAGCGTTCTATCAAAGAAACTGAAAGGCGTGCATCTTGTATATCTGGACGAAAATGAGGTTGTTCGGTATCGTGAACAAAAAAAAGAAGAGTGGCTGACGGTGCGCGCCTTCCCTGGCATTCAGTCTTGGCACGCGTGGCGGCTCAGCAAATCATCAACAGAAGGGACATGTGACGTATATGTAGCACGGAGAGTCGGATCTGCTTGGAAGCAACTTTATTAAATGGGTACAGCGAGGAAAACCTTAGTGTAAAGTGCCGAATTTGATTTCCCAAGGACTGCTCATTTTGAATGCAGGGACATCTTATTTATCACATTTTTCTTCACGGGGTATTTAACCTACTGTTTTTGTTGGTGGTTACCAATAATTTTTATCTGATCACTATAAAAAAAAATCCCAAAATGTTATCCTCGAGCAGGATAAAATATATCGGCTTGCCACGATTCATTCATACACCGAGAGCATCGAAGCTGCTCCAGTTAGGCACTATGGCATCCGTCACCTGAAATTGTTTGTAATCGTAAATACACAGCCAACCTAAATATTTTACTATTATATCTTTGTTTTTGTGTGTGGAAGTAAAGTTATTTATTTTACTCTAGATGTAAAATATACCGGAAGGTACAACTTCACACTGCATCATCTTTTCTCAAATCATTAGTCTCTAATATGATACCACTTTGTACGCTTATGTAAAATGCTGTATATAGTTTCTCCTCCCTTTTACTGTGTGACCGATCGCTCTTTTTATCAATGGCCTCATCTGAATAAATGTATATAAAAGATTTGTGCAAGTTTCATGAAACTGGAACTCAGAGTCACTTCTTGTATCGGACACTGCTAAGTGTAGGCTTTGAAAAAGGACCCTTCTTTGGGGAGTTGTTTCTTCTTTCACAGTGCAATGATGCAACATGTTTTTAATAGAAATGAATGCCGAAATAGAGTATAACAGGGTACCCAAATTTAAAAAAAATCGAAGGTGGTGTTTTTTTTTTTATTCGCATTGGAATTTTTCTTTGTTTGATTTTTTCCCATGTTTGCCTAAATATATCGTAACTATTGTGTCACTCAGATACCTTATTTATTTTTTCAATAATAGCCATATATTAGTAAAATAATGTCTGCAAGTTATGTAATAATGATTAAATTATTTCATGAGATACAGATTTCCTAAGTTTGCCATTTGTCGTTCGAGCAGGCATGTTTGGCAATTTTTAGAAAACTAAATAAATTTTTAATAAATATTATTACTTTATATTACAAGCACGTTGTACCCATAGTTTGTTTGCAAAAAGTTTTAAAATTCTCCTAATTTTATTGTTTTAATTATTTACTTTCAAAATTGCCCCCTCCATCAGTGCGCGTTATTGCAACTGTCCACCTCTCCCTGCCTTACGATTTTTCTTGTCTCCAAATTTTTTTTCTGGTCAAAACTAAGTGTGGATTCGTTTATACCAGACACTAGACAATGTCATATAAAAACATCAGTTGATTTAAAAATGTCGACCAGCCACCCTTTGGTCGATCTTATCTGAAATCACCCGTCTACTGTTTATATGTCAGTGCTATTTAGCCTACGTAAAGCGTCGAGGGTCTCGACAAACCGTATTTTACAACTTTTCTTTTTCTCCAGCTCCACCATAAATGCACATGGTAGTACATAAATTACTATTATGTGGAATATAATCACTCAATTACATGACATTTAAAAGAAGCCGTATTTTGGAGTTCCTGTTATGACGTTGTGCTATATACGCCTCGCGAGTGGGCTCATTTTCGTCTTCTGCGCATGAGAAAGGAAGTAGCGGTAACGTCAGAACGCCGAGCCCTGATTGGCTGATCGCAACCCCCTATCTGAGCGTCGTCTGCTCCTTTGCAACGTCGTCTGCGTCTGTCTTACCTTCCCTGCGACTTTCGGAGCGAACTCGACTTCGCCTTTAAGAGAGGGCAGACGAAATAACTCGAGCGGTACGTTCTTTTTGTCTAACAACTAGCAGACACGCATCAAGGAGGGAAGTCAAAGGACTCACTGGCGAGGTGTCCCGACGCGCCAAGGTTTGTTTGCTTAGAACCGAGAATGAGCGTGTTAGTGTCCGCAAGTTCCCTCCCAACTACTTTTTCCCTCCATTCGTGTGCGGCGAGACCCCTCACTCTTTAACGGCGTCGGCGGTTTGGCGCAGTTGGCGTCGTCTGCTTTCCGTCTGCTAGTCAAAGCGATGGCTGCTTTACCTTTCCTGCGTCTGTCGGAGATTAACCGCTTTTTCACCGGCGAGAGTCACCGTTGCCTCGGGAAGCAAGGAGATAACAAGAGGAAGAAATTGACCTGTTAATCTAAAATTGAGGTCAGCGATCAAAGTATAATACGGGAAGGGTTCACAAGGGTCGCGCGGGCATATTCCATTCAGCACGCCAGCCGGTCGTGGGCAGACGGTCGCCGAGTCGCGGAGTGCCTGCTAGGCCTAAGTGCCCAGCTCGTTTGGTCGCGTTCGGTGAAATCGTGGCCGTTGGAGCTTTTCCCAGGTGTTTTTGGATCCATCGTTCTTGCTCGTCGTGGTCTGTGTCAAGTACTTCTTAATTTTTTCTTGCTGCTTGAAGTCGGGACGCGTCAGAAGCGCAGGTAGAGAAATAAACGTCCGTGGGTCGTCGCGACCGCGACGCTGTCGGCCATGCTGATTTGATCGTAAGAAGTGCGTAAGACAGCTTCGGAGCTGCCGTAGGATTTCATCGTAGCCTGCGCAAAACTTACGAAACTTTCGTTTCGTGAATACGAATTTGTTCTTAAGTTTTGTCTTACACACATTGTTGGCGTAAGATTGTTTCGTGAATCTGGCCTCCGCGCTTCCGAAAGCCGCAGGAAAGGTAAGAGAGACGCAGACGACGTTGCGAGCAGACGACGTTGCAAAGGAGCAGACGACGCTCAGATAAGGGGTCGCGATCAGCCAATCAGGGCTCGGCGTTCTGACGTCACCGCTACCCCCTGCGCAAGAAGCAGACGAACTTGCCCTCCGCATAGTACCATAGAATAAATTAAATATTTCATAGGCGATTTTAGCTCTAGCCTGAAAAATTAACGTCCCCTGATGACGTAGGGGAAGGCAGCATGAATTAAAAAGAAGAAAGCATTGGCGAATCAATGATTCTTAAGGTTATATTTCAGTGAGATTACAAGTTCGGAAGCCAGTTTTCATGGTAAGTCTGTGTTTACTGAAAGTAGGTCTGATTGGGAACGAGGTATATCACGATTTATGGCAATAGGTAAAAGAAATCATTTAAGAACTGATATTTCTACGTTTGATTATATTGCCGTCAAAATTCAGCCCTTATCACAATGTAATTTTATTTTATCGTACATCGCCCACTTTTCGTTTTTTCTTATATTTTATTAATACACCATCTTTGTTTCGCTTTAATACCTCGCGTCTACCATGGCTGACGCGCAGAAGAAAAAACAAATATACTAAGTTACGTTAACTAAATAAAGTGCTGAGGAAGAAATTATGTTTAATATCTTGTTACAATGCCGACCAGACTTAAGAATAATAAAACCTTATATTTATACTCTTTCAATAAAGTGCCAGAAGTTGAAACCAACTAGTGCTCCTTTTTTAACTTCGCTGCACCATTGGTTAAGAACAGGGTAGAGGCAGATGCTATTTATATAGAAATGTCTAAAGCATTCGATACGTTGATCATGAGCTATGGCTCCAAAAGTTATAGTTATACTGTCGTTGTTCTAAACTACTTCTCTGGTTTCAAAACTATATGTCATATCGTACGGGTCATGTTCGAATTTTTAGTGCACATTCCAAACTATTTTGCTGAACCTCAGATGCCCCCCAGGGCTCTACTCTTGGGCCTCCTCTCTTTCTGATATATTTTTTTTTAACGATATGGCCTCATGTCTTAAAAAAGCTGAGCTCTTACTGTTTGCGGATGATATTAAGAATTTTATGCTCGTTGCCACTCCTTTTGATTGCAATGCTCTTCGGCACGACGTGAAGAACATACTGCAATGGTCTTCGGCGAATAATTTGCTCCTTAATCGTACCAAAAATAAGGTTCCCTCTTTGAGCAGACGACACGCTGTTATGCATTTTACTTGCTCTTTGGGAAGCACTTCAATTGAACGCGTGACTGTAACGAAAGATCTCGGTGTGTGACTTGATGGCGCGTTGTCATTCATTCCTCATGTTTCTTTTATTGTTGGCCGTGTGATGAAAACCTTTGGTATTATATCTCGTATATCTAAAAAAATTCAAACACCTTGGTATAAATGTTCTGTTTATTTTGTGCTTTAGTTAGTTCACGACGTAAATTTGCCTCAGTGGTTAGGAATTCTCCAACACGCACACAGTCTTTCAGCATTTAATCGTTTCAAAAAAGAGGGATACGCATTGTATATGACAGAAACTTTCATCGTCGCTTTTATTATGATTATAAATATCTTGTTAATAATGTTTTACTTTGGTCTTCGTGAAATAAAACATTGAAGTGTGATATGATTTTTTTTTTCCAGTGTGGTAAATGATTGGATTGGTGCTAACCTACTTCGGAATTCTTCCGATTTTTATGTTCTTTGTCGCGTTACCAGAAATTTTACTCACTTTTACATTCAATTCATGTCTTAACTCTAACCACCGTTCCGTCACGTATCCGAATCTCATTTAATAGAATCGCATTCTATAGTTTCGAAATTTGGACGGATCTTTCAGTTTTACGCCGGGACTTGGATAGTCCAGCTGAAACTTGAAACTGTGTTACATTTTGTGTGAAGTGTGCCCACTATTTGTAGTCATGTTACTTTGTAGATTTGATGCTGTGCGTATGTTGTGTTTCTTCTTTTTATCTTCTTGTGTGCGACAAGGTGAAGACCCGCGTGGTTGTTTTTCGGCCCATAAAATACGCAATATTAATAATAATATTAATAATAATAAGAAGAATATTGGTATCACTAATATTATTATTAATCACCGTTTTATTTTGCGGGATACCTTTTTTACTTGCAGCAATTTTCAAGTGAATACAATTTCAATATTTATACACCGCGACCACTGCCCCATTTCTAATTTACCTAAATAGTTGGTACCGATTGAGATGTATAATTTAGGATTTGTTGATTACTCTATACTTGTAATGCATTTTTGTGGTGCGTAGTGATGGCTAAGTTCAGAATGTGGCCACGTTGTTGGAACTACACTTTACTGAAAGGATAAACAGAGGGACCGACCGACAAGGCGACACATCTTTCCTACCTACGTGCATTTTTTCTCCTCGGTGTATGGTAAAATCTGCAATTCTTTATGCTTCTAGTCTAATCTAAAGTGAACTAGAATATTTTTATGCGCATAATTTTTCGCGAATATTTGAATTATGGTGTGCGTATTTATTTGTGTTTAAATTTGGTGCACTCCCTCGCTTGCAACGGCAGTGTTTCAATTCCGAAGTAAACATTTTTAGTTTGCGCACTCACCGTCACGTTGGAAGCCGCCAAGTTGTTCAGCTCGCAGGGATCATGTTCAAGGTCAAAGTAGTAAGGAGGACTGGCAGCTACGAAGTTGTTCGGGGGGGCGTACCGGTCGCACCTCACGACGGCTTCATTGCGCCAGTTAGGCCTAACTGTGAGCTGGCGGACGTTGTAGAAATCTTTCAGCACTTTTCCGGTTCGAGACGATAGCATCATCTGGTCTAGACCATCCACGGGACGAGAGCCTCCAGGGGCCTTCATGCGCATGTCGTGCGACCCTTCGTTGAAGGATCCCAGGACTACCTTGTGTCGCCCGACAATCAGCGCCGAGCTGTTTTCTATTGGATCAATGTTAATGAGGACCTCTTGCCGAGGGGATTCCAGGTCTTCAGATAGGGCCTTCCACATGTCCTTGCCGTCGATGTTGCCGAGCGTTGACACATTTCCTCCTGAAATCCGTTGAACTATGAATCAAGATTTACAAACAACACTGGTTTCGAAGCAACCGTGTCGCGTGACGTTGATGATTAATATTTTGGTCGGTCTCCTGGATGCGCAGTGAAAAAGATGGCCACCAATAAGTTAACTCAATGAAACCTGTATTAGGTTCTTAACAACACCAGCTTATTACACGCCATTATATTTTTTTAATCAAGTATATCGTGATAATCCTACAATACTAGTCTAATTGCACACAGCCTGAGAGGCTCCTTTGTTGTGAATATTTGCAACTCGAATATTAGGAAAACGACCTTGTACCTATACGCAAAAAAAAAACGAGACAAAAAGTGTGGTTCCAATGAAAGAAGCAGGTAGAAAACTGTGTTCCCGGTGAACACATGATAAGGTTCTAGATAAAGATATTCTGCCCGTAGAGTTTAGTATTTTTTTTTTTTCCAAGGAAACCTCTAAACAGTTTATCACCTTTTTTGAATTCGGGTGTTTTACGTGCCAAACAAAAGTGGGGAGATCTGGCACGCCCCGTAAAGAATGGGATTACTTTGGCCACCTGGGGACCTTTGACTTGCTGTCCAAATCTCAGTTACAAAGCACCCTTTAAGCAACATGTTTCCGCCAGATCGCGGGCGCCTCGGCCGGGATTCGAACCCACGACGGTCTGTAAAACGGCGCTTTGCCTCGGAGCCACCGAGGCGGCCTATCGGGTTTTATCGGTATTTATTTCAAACTCATGCGGAACTAAACCTATTATTGACACCGGTAGCAGTGTATACTTCAAAATGAAAGTTGCGACGAATACACTTGGCTTTCTCCAAAACGTCCCCAAACCGACTCGTGGGTGTAACCTTCTTCATTTATTATTTTGTAACACTCCTGATATTGTCTTTAACGTATCTGTTATACTTGGTATTAGTAATCACGATACAATCGTTGCAAACTCCACTGCGCCTGCTTGTTTTCTTAAATGTAATGAGTCTCGAAACGGTGTTATTCAAGAAGGGAGATTTTACGAAAATCTCCGCTGAACTAGAGAATCGTTTCTTTTTGTCTTTGGAGTGTTTAACCGAGAAATTAATCGTTAATGAATTATGGTTAGTATTCAAGGAAAGGATTCTTGGCCTTAAAGACTCTCAGCGAGCTGAAAAAAAGGGAAAAGCCATGGATCACTTGCAATCTCATTCGTACGATTCGTAAGTGATTGAGAGCATACCCGCAGTAGTGCAGAAATAAATCGGCGAATAATTTCCAGAAGCCAAGGTATCTAACATTGCTCTACTAACAAAAATTGAATGTTTGTCAAAAAAAGATTTTCTCATGTTTAACTGCACTTTCAATATAAAAACAAAAATAGGTTTTGCTAGTATATAAAATGGTGTTCGATCAAAGATAAAGTAGGTCTTCCCAACTTGCTGCATGAAAAAAACACCAGTGAAAAATGATTAGGATAAAGCCATTGTATTGAACAATGTTTCTAATAGTGAAAAGACGGTGAGAGTGCAGGCGAGCTGGTGGTAGCTAATCATGTCGTATTACACCTGAGACTGCGGTGGAAGAAATCGGAAGAACTTTCAGTAGGAGGAACAGACACAGAGAACGTCTCAAACGTCCCGGCCGATTTCTTCCACCGCAGTCTCAGGTGTAATACGACATGAATGTTTCTAAGTCAGTTTTTTGCTCAGATAAATTTGTCTTCCGGCGAATTATCGGCGATCAGCATGCAGTAATAGAACAGCTTGTCTTTCTGTCAGTGGTATTGTCAATTTGCTTTGTAATATTGCTGAATGGAACGCCCCTAGCCCTGATGCAATTTCGCCTAGAGTAGTGAAGCGTTGTTCTAGCGAAGTGGCAAAGTAATTTGTAATCCACACAAAATCGCTTTAAGGAGTTAAACTACTTAATGATTCGATGGTTGCGAATGTGGCGCCCGTTTTCAAAAGCGAATAAAAATTTAATCTGTCGAACTATAGGCCAATCTAACTTACATCAGTTTGGTGTAAATGACTTTAACATATCTTGTACTGAGCTTTAATAAAGTATCTTAGTATGACTGGGTTTTTAAACGATTCGCAGCACAGATTTAGAAAAAAAGTTTCTGATGTACGACACAACCGATTGAATTTTATTATGATGTCTCTACCGAACTTGATAACAGACGTCAGGTTTTGAGGATTTTTTTAAATTTTAAAGGCGTTCGTCACTGTGTCACACTACGTGCTACTCAAAAACTTGAAGGTTTAAATATTGATACTGCTGTGGCTAACTGGTTCAGGGATTGCTTAATTTCAAGAAGACAACAGGTTGTAGTAAATGGAGCATGCTCGAGGTCTCTATTACGTCTGGAGTGCCTGTGTCCACATCTTTTTCTAATTATTAATATGAATAATATTTGTTATGAAGTTTAATCTTGAATACGTCTGTTCACGTATGATTGCGTTTTGTATAGTAGAGTGTCTAGTGAAACAGATTCCACAAGGCGGCGAGTGTCCTTAGATGCGTTGAGATATGGTGTACGGAGAATAGAATCTCCCTACATGTTAGTAAGTGCGCTTACGTAAGCTTTACTAAAAATAAAATATAAAACTTTTCAGCGCATTTTTCTTACAGTGAACCAGTAAGAACACAACCACAATCAACATCCAATTAATTAGGTGTGATATTTTCTGAACACGGTTTATGGCCAGCGCAAGTAAACTTTGCAATTGGAAAGGCGGGCAGGTCTCTTAGTCTTTTGCAGCGTAACCACAAGAATGTTAGTAGCGAGGTTTAAAAAGTCGACTATCGAAAGTATACGCTAGGCCGACCCTGGAATATGCTTGCCCTGTGTCGGATCCGGTTTAACGTGCCTCTGTCAATGCACTGTGAATGCACAGTTGGCCCCACTTCGCGGACGAGTCTATTACTGCACTGCCGCTAAGAGCACGTAGATCGAATTCTCGCGCTGCAGAACCCAACGGTCCTGTGTTCAATCCCCACCCCTGCCACTTTCGATCTAGATGAGCATCGTACATACCGGCATGCTGACGTGTATCACATCAGCATCATGCACGTTACTGACCCAAGGCTAGCAGTCGTACTGTGTTGTGGGTAGCAATGTCGCCATACTCTAGCAAACTTAACTCCGGTTGTCTAAACAACAAACGAATAATTTGGGGAATCCCCTACCACCGCCCAACGGAGCTTTAATGTCGCAAAAACAAACAAACACGTAAGTTCTGTCATACCGGCTGCTGAATAGAGTGTTGGCAACCAGTCGGTGATGTGCATCATCTGGTTCGAGAGACGTCCAGACTTGAACAGCAGAGGACTCCAGACGAAGGCGGCTCCTCTGACGCCCCCTTCCCAGTTCGTTTCCTTGGAACCCCTCAGAGGCCAGTTGTAGCCACTGTTGGGCTCCACGCCCCACGGAAGCCCTCCGTTATCCGTGCTGAAGACCACAATGCTGTTACTCAGCATGCCCCGCTTGTTCAGCGCCTCCATCACCAGTCCAACGGATTTATCCAGCTCGTACACTGCGCCTAATAATGATCTTGGATTCAATTTTTCATATCACAAAAGAAATAACAGCAGAAGTTCGTCTCATATTATCATGATGATCACCTCCGGCATCATATCGAAGGAATAATTTAATGAAATCTAAAATATTCCCGTCGTGTTCAGAAATAGGCTGAATACGATCCACAATATCCCTAAATGACAATCGCACGTTTGTATTTCGAGTCTCCATGGCTGTATTTTTCGTTATAAACGGGCCACTCTGGCAAGCGCTCGGAGAACGACCACCGAAGAGCACATGACATCCGTGCAATCGCGACGTAGATTGTCTTGGGACGAGCAAATCTGGGCCGAGCCTGACGTCGACGGGATGTCGTAGCCGTTTCAGCACTAAAGCGGCCTAAGCACTGCAGCGATCGGGCCACCGCAACGAACACCAAAGCTGCTTTTGTACGAGTTTTGAGTGACCGGTTAATCTTCTATAATCTTGTAGAGGGACAATAGCGAGGTCTGAGACACACAAAAGCTAGTCCCAGTAAGAGGAGAGTTCCTCCTTCCCTTTGTGGTGACTAGGGTGCCTACATGTTTCCGCCGCTCCACTGTTTAGGGTGGCGACAACGTTTGTGATACCTGTTGCCGACAAACCAGTGTTGCCTACCTCGGTACCGTGGCAACCTCCGCCGTTTTTGTCGGGCATTTTGTCACACTCGCGGGTCGTGCGCTCGCACTACGCCGCTAATCCTCGGATAGGGCTAGGGAGCGCCCACCGCTTTCGTTCCGACGGCGAGGTTTCGGCGGTCAATGCCGGTCTGTTGCGTTCCATTTTGTCGCGGGAACTCGCGTTTCGCTAAAAGCAACGCGCACTTTCTGCTCGCTATTTCAACATATGAAACACCCGAATGAAGAGAGCGACAGCCACGACGACCGCCATCCCGCTGAGCCTCCGACTCCTCTTATGAACGGAAACGGAAGTGGCCTCACAGTATTGCCGGTGTTTAGAGACTAAAGCAACTCAATGTTGTTTACGTTTAGCGAAATGAGACGTGGGAAAAAATGGCGGTGGGAGAGGATCTGGGAAAGGGTAACAAGAAGTTGGCGCCATCGTAAAGTGGAGCGGAAACATGGAGGCACCTTAGTGGTGACCAGAGATTTGGCGGGATGACGCCAGGTTAAAGGCATGTATAGCTCTAGGCGAGACAGGCATCGTCACTACCTGTCAAGGTTCCTATACGGGCATTACAAACGAAGCTTTAGCGACATCCACCAGGTGCCCTTTGCTAACCCTTTAATTCGTTTTAAAATTCCTTTTTGTGTCCTTTTCAACAAGATATTGGTGTTTCCGATGCGATTCTGCTTCCTTGAACACGTTTAGACCAAGAAATAAGCGCCGACATTTCGTTGTAGTATTCCTTTAAAGACGTTCAGTTTTTGCGGGGCGGCTTTAGTTCTCGTGTACAGGGTGAGGCTTTTTTTTTTTGTTGCCCAATCTAGATTTGATAAAAAAAGAAAAAAAAAGTGAAAGCCGTTTACAAATCCCTGTAACGCCGAATTGGAGCGCAGCTCTTGAGGAGGAGGAGGGAAGGGTACTGAAGGGAGGGTAGACCCCTCCTCCTTCTCCTCCTCCTCCCCTCATTCTTTAATATGCTCCGGGGGGGGGTCACGTGACCTCGGGGGGGGGGGTGTCACGTGACTTCGGGGAGGGGGGCCACGTGACCTCGGCGAGGCGTGACCTGGGGGTCACGTGACCTTGGGTGTCACATGGGGTCACCTCAAGGTCACGTGACCCCAAGGTGTTCCCCACGTGACCTCAGAGGGGTCACGTGACCTGGGGGGTCACGTGGGGGTTACCTTGGGGTCACGTGACCTTGAGATGACCTTAAGAGGGGTCACGCGACCTTTGGGGTAACGTGACCTCGGGGGTCACGTGACCTTGGGGAGGCGACCACGTGACCTCGGGGGTCACGTGACCTCAGAGGGGACACGTGACTTGGGGGTCACGACCTTGGGGGTCACGTGACCTTCAAAGGGTCACGTGGGGCCATCTTGGGGTCACGTTACCTTGAGATGACCTTGGGAGGGGTCACGTGACCTCGAGGGGTCACGTGACCTTGGGGGTCACGTGACCTTTAGGGGGTCACGTGGGGTCACGTGACCTTGAGATGACCTTGGGGGCACGTGACCTTGGGATGACCTTGGTTACGCGGACGCCGACGGCGACGCCGACGCCGCTCAAGCCGGGAACGGGCCCCTAAGAGCTGCGCTGTAAAAAAGCGTGAAAGCTTCACAATTGCGGACTGCGCAATTGAGTTATACGGCCAGGTGGCCGTATAACAAAGGATTTTCTGCGCCTAATATGATGTGCAGAACCAGTCTTGTAAAACTTCGTGAAGACGCTTGCAAACTAAACATGATCGAGAACCCGACGACCCAGAAAGCGAGCAGCGCACAGCCGTGTGGGCAGTTGGGAATCGCCGTTATACTCAGCGTGTGCCAGGATCACTATTTTGTCACTGAATACCTGAAGTCCACCGGGGAAGCCATTGCAGAAGCCACTGCACAGTTTTGTGGTATACTGACGATAGGACAGTGGAGCTTGTAATAGCGCCCCAGTGTCGAAGACCGTAAAGCAAAAGGCAGCTCGAAAGCAAGAAGCAGCCGTTGTCCTGAACAGCACAATTTACGACTCTGGCACGTTTAGGAGAGGCTCGAATTACATCTGGAATTGTATGCTCTCCGCGCGAATAACTTAGCTTTTCATACGAACAAAACTGATGCGTCCGTAGCGTCACTTTCCCAAACTGATGAACGTATCACTTTTAAATTATTCGCTTACGTCTCGGATGGATACATTTCGCCGTTTCCAAATGAGTAAAAAGAAAAACTTTTTCAGTGACTTTTCAAAGCAACTTGTCGAGGCCGCTAAGGTTGGATCACCGCTTTAGTTTTCCAGTAACGGAACACCGACAACTCTCAGCTCCGACGCGCCGTGCCGCCAACGTGACGCAAGTTTCCTCATTAACACGTGACCCTCGGGAGTCTCACGAGGGCTGTCCTTCCGGCGGGCATCGAGCGTGTGGTTTCGGTACTGACAGATATTCAGAACAAAATTTGACAATGAATAACTCTAAATGCGTCTTCGATCCACGATTTAAAAGAAAAAAAAACAAAAAACAGGTGTGGCCTTCAACATTGATTACCTCCATTCCTTCAATATAAACGTTTGCCATAAAACCTTTAATCGAAAAAGTAAGTGGGATTTTCGTTAATCAGTCACATTTTAGTTCCATTTTTTATGAAACAAGACGGTCCACCGGGCCGTAAAACTCACTTGCAGGGACTGCATTTCTGTAGCTTTCATGGCTTTTACTTAAAAAAAAAAAAAAATCAATGTTCGATACGAAAAAAACAACAACAACAACAACTCCCTGTGTATGTAACTTAAAAACGCGTTATTTCTGTGAATGTCAGGGGTTGAACGCACAGCAAGATCCCGAGTATGAAGGACGCTTTTTAAAACCTCATCAAACAACGCTGGCGGTCGCAATTTCTTGGGCATAGAGTGTAGGATTGGATCGGAGTCCTCGCTGAATGATGAAGTAAACCTCGTGTCCAATACGTGCTTAGCCCAAGGAATGGAGAGGGGATGGGGGGAGCTCGGGTAATTAGCGCAGCAGCTACATTTTTCGGCGCACTTTTAAAAAGGGTCGATTTGAGAACGGTCTCTACTCAATGTGAAAGATTTGCGAATCGGGCAACATGCAGAGCTTCTGTCTGAAAGGTACTTTATACACTTGATAACGTAATAAAAACATACAGGTCACCTTTTGAGGTTTGAAGACGCTGCAACGCTGTAAGTGGTTAATTTATGTTGGGAGTTGCACCGCCTCACTATATTTTTTCGCTTAGTCCTCGGTTGGACACATTTCTGCTCGATTGCTTGCATCGTTGCTTAGCCCTTGTTTGTATATATTTCTACATGATTACGTGCAGTAATACTACAAATAATCACATTTATTGCTTAGTCTTTGATTGGACATATTTCGGCTTGACTACTTGCAGTAATACCGATAGTAATGAACTTCATTAATATATATACAAAGTAGACATACTTAAGGCTACATGCTCCCGTTTTGTTTTAACTTGTGCGTAGATATTTACGTGTGGTTCAATTTGACTCAGCTAGGTATTTACGTTACAGTTTGACGAGCATCAAAAGTTCTAAAAGATCATTATTTCTTTCTTTCCCGTTACAAACAACCTTAAAGCAGAACAGGGCTTCCCTTAAACGAAGATCTCATAGTCGGTAATTTAGTGCCTAAACACATCTATACATACATATGTACAAGTGATCTTAAATTTACCTGCATGTATTGATCTGTTCAGTTCCTTAATGTAGGGAAAATGCGCAATAGCCAAAGCAGGTGCTTCTAGTTCCACCTTGTAATCTCCGCAGTGCACTGCCTGATGACTCAAGTACAGGAACATTGGCTGTGGATGGACAAAGTAGTTCATATTTTACAGTTACTTATTTCAAAGTACCGCGACAAAGATGTAGCGTTTTTTTTTTCTACCGCACAAATAATCTATGGATCATCGAACGCTTAGTTTCCTGCACACTAGCGGTCCGAATCAGACGCCAGTTTCAGAAAAAAACCACTATCTTATTTAAAATCATCAATGATGTTTTGAAAATTTAAATAAAAAAATTTGGCCCGTTCTAGGCTCGCAGCCCTCTTCAGTGCTGTATGTCCAAAAGCTTCGTCGCCGACCATTAAACATTTTAGAAAATGACTCATGTCTTTACATTTGGGCAGGGAGTAAGCGTTTGACTATCCAGAGTTTATTTCTGTGATAAAAAAAATGCCTGTAACTGTTTTTGGACATCATTCTCAAAAAAAAAAAAAAAAAAAAAAGAACGTATTTTTTGCGTAAATAAACTATCCATAGTAAAAAGTTGAAACTCCGTGAAAGTGTGACGGTGCATTCGTAGTCAGGTCACGGCTAATGTCACTTCTACAGAAGGTTTAGGCATGACATAGGTTATATTTTGACATGACAAGAAAGTGACCCTGAAGGTAGTCGTGGCATTCTCGCCTTTTCAAGTTCCTTCAGAACACTTAAGCGTTACAACAGCGCATGTAGCCATGCCATTAAGAGCTCCCCATACCATCCGCGTTACAACATAGTTTAAAGCTGACAGCGTAACTTCTATAAAACAAGTAACGACTAAAATCAGATAACAAAAAAGTTGGTGTTCCAAACCACGCTGTGAAGGCGAAGTTGTAGTATCACCTGCAACGATTGCCCACTGCACTATATACCTTTTTACGGCTAACACCACCAGGTGCTGCTCCAGTTTTTGACGTACCAGAGAACTTCCGGTTTATAAAAAAGAATGAACAAATGTCACCTTAACGCCGCTGCTTGAAATGCAGATGTAACGTTTAACCACCGATTCTCCAGGTGAACGCTAAAAGAACGAAGGAGTGCGAGGTCTGTTAAAATATTTCGAGTATTCTTGTGAACAAACTTGCCTCCTCCAAGATGAAATATTTTACAGCCGAAGGCCCTTGTTAAATCTCCAACTTTGTTGTCCGTGTAGCATTTACGCTTTCTAGCACTGGTGACATAAGCAAGCTCAACAGGCTTGCAAAGATGGTACAACCGGAAGTCGTTTGGGACGCAAGCGGCAGTTCATGTTCGTAAACAGCAGAAGGGTCTATACCAAATGATGGACGAAGGAAAAGTAAAATTCACTGTACCAATTTTTTTTTTACTTGAATGACTTCGCACGCTTCCATTGCCGAGGCAACTTATGCTACCGCAATCTTTGTCGTGAAACGCATAAGTGCTTCACATGGTTAGAGGGGCTAGGGACTTCATTCCCCACTTCGTACTCTGACGTTGTCGCCGCAGCTTCTGCAGCCACCATTTTTACCGTGAATGCATGTGGGGAGCGCTACGTTCTTGGCACTGTTCGAGCGCGCCTTGTCGTCTGTTATGTGGTTTTGACACTTGTTTTGTTGTTTTCTCGTTGAAACAAGTGTCAATACCAAATGATGTAAGAGAACTCGCACCCGATGGTTTTCTGTCGACTATTCAGTCGACTACTGTTCTGTCGACGAACATAAAAAAACACGGCCAACCAACCGTATACAACTTCGCTCGTAAATAAATAAATAAATAAATAGCTGTAAAATTTTAAAGTTTGAGTCACGCCGGAGGCCGGGGAGAGGAGGTCGGGAGGACCCGGTGCAGCTTCAACACTGAAAGGGGTGGAAAGATGTCCATCTTTGAGGAGGGTGGGTCGGTGGTAACGCTTTGATTTGCCCACGAATTTGCTCCCGAGAAGGTGCGCGACGGATTCTTGGACCTGGTTTCTCGTCATCGTTTTTGAATCAGCGCAGAGGAAGGAAGAGTGCTTCCGATCAATAACGATTTCGGCTTGGCTTCGACCGCTCGGCGAGTTTAGCGCTAATGTTCAGATCAGCGGATATTCCAGGGGTTGTACGCGGCCATCGGCACCGTGAAGTGCTGTAGAGAATTCACGAGAGACAGCTATGTGTTCCCAATGGAACTGAAAATGTCGCATCGACAGGTATTTCGTGTTTATGCGTGGGAATACCCGCGTTCAAGCCATGGATGGCTAAGGTCTTTAGGTGAGCTTTCGGCTGTTTTTGAAAGCCAAAATCTGGCTTTATCTGAAGTTGACCATAAATGTCTCATAAATTAAAAGCACATGCTTGTTGTCATCTGACATGCTTTGTCTATTGCACCCCTTTTAGTTCCACAAAGCCTTAACTTCTTTTACGTAATGTCATTAAATCAACAAAATCTTGTCAAACAGAATTTCGGATTACACAACAAAATGAATGTGATTAAAAGTTTGATTTTCTTAAACGTGCTCAATAAACTCTTTCTTTTTTGGCTTTCAATTACACTTGTTTCTTACGCATGGTTTTCTTCATACTTTTGTTTGACTGAGCTAATATGCAATTTCAGCATATATATTCTTTCAATGTACTCGAAGTGTCAAATGCAAGAGGCCGTGATGCCGTCTTGCTTCAAAAGCGCAAAGTGCGCGGGGATTAAGTGCTTGCACAATACTAGGTTATTTGCACCCTTGCAGTTCGCACTTCGGGTTCGAAAGCATTTCTCAACACTGGCTCCCTTGAGATAATTGGACATCATAAGGCGCCGACGTGCTTCTCGCAAAACGATATGAGAGCAACAATCTCCTTGCTGTTCTTGAATGTAACGCCAATGTTCAGAGCAGGACTCGGCTATTATAGCCTTTACAAAGGGTCACATCTGTCAAGTTAATTTAAGTGGGACTGTATGTGCCACGTGTAACGCCTAATGGGTGTCACAAAAGTCAAACTATTATTGTCTTAACATTTTACAAAGCCAATATTAGAGGGACATGTCACTTCCATAATGGGCATTAAAAAAGAGGAACTTTTTCCCGCCAACATTGCCCTTACCAGACTATGCCTTACTGTGGCGGTGGAGGTAGAATTCGACACTTCGAGAACATGACGCTACCTGGATCAAAAGATAAAAGTCAATCGAAGCCTAATATTGTCTAACGAAATGTTACTGTGGGCAGGTGTAGCATTGATTTCATTTAAAAAATAATCTCGGAAGAAAACAATATTATATTTTTTGCTGCCGAGAGATTTTTTTTCTTTTTAGTATATATGATTGGCACATTTGCCTACAGTGATCCTTTCTGGTTTTTACGATATTAACGTTAACTAGACGTCGGCTCATGAAACACTTTTTCCTTCCCTTTTATTTTTTATCCAGTTAACGTCACATTCTCCACGTTTCCCGCTCTATATCACCACCACTAGCGTCACATTCTAACGGAGTTTCATCTATCTGGGTACGTAGTTTGTTTACGCGGGCGGAAAAACATTGTTCTCCTTTACCAATCACCCGGTACTTCAAAACTTTTTCTTTATTGATAAAATTAGATTTTTCTTGATAGAAAATAGAAGCGATATTCACCGCGTTCGATTATATTTCTGTACGAGTACCTTTGCTGGATCGTGATGCTTGATAAGAGACTGGGCTTTTTTGGTGAATAATTCGGTCGAATAATGGTTCCCCTCATTTCTCACAGGGGTCGTGTTCTCCCAGAAGTCCAGGCCACTCGCGTTCGACTTGGGATGAATTGAGATAAATACCATTAATTGAGAAAACAAAAACACTAAAAGTACTTTCAAGAAAAACACACTCAACAATAGACACTTTCCGGAGTTAAGTCTGGCAACTTGGATAACTCGTGGTATTTTGTCAGCATTGAAATTAAAACGATTAGAGGACGAACTATATGACCTAGAATACGGTCGCTTTTGTACGTCTGTCGCTGACGTACGAGCCGTCATTAGAATATACAAGGTTAGCCTGATATTGCAGCCATCAGATGGCACTGATTATCTGCAAGGATCTTGTGATCTGCTTTCTATGTGGGTTACATCTCTGGAAAAATTCTGTTAGAGAAGCCAGCGGATTCTTTTTAATGCTTCATACACCAAGATACACTCATTTGTGCTGATGGGAAGTTCCGTTTTCTGCATAGGCCTACTTCGTGTTGGACACCGTATACTCGGCGTCCACTTTTTTATGCTACGTTGGCAAAGCTGGCGTAGTTCCCGCAGTGCTTCAGCGTTCTGCTATGCGTAAGTATTGTGTGTATGTTTCTAAAACGCGAAGTCAGTCAGCCACAAATATTGTCTTGTGCCTCCGCTGTCGATGACAAATTTTGCCACTGCGGTTCTACAGATAGACTAAGGTTTTTAAAGTGCTTCACACAGTAGTAATACATTTATTCATCCTACCGCAAGCCGGTAGGATTAACTTTTCAGAGCGAAACGGGAAGGGATGAGGATTGAACATGATCCCCTGGTGTGCCAGCAATTCGAGGTTTCGCTCACCGATTCCCCTTCGCTGGGTGGTTTACAGAAGGGGCCTTCACTTGACTCCTTATTTATGGACTGCTAGTGCTGAGAATCTTATAGCGTGGAACGGACATTGCAAAAGCACTTTGGAAGTTTTCCACCAGCTCGAGATCAGCAGCCATGGACGCAGCTATGGCCGCCAATGCATGCCTTTATATTAGTGATTTTTATCACGTGGTTTCGAAGCTTCTTTCGTCACTTCGTCTTTAGATCGCCAAGAACCTTGAATTTCTTTTTCGCTCGATAAGGCTGGCGAGCGAACCTGTCGCCACAGTTTTCTGCTCGAGCCGCCAGGAGGTGTCCATTTCGCTTGAATCAGCAATAGGCTCATGCCATCTTTCAAGCTGAGAAGCTTCATTGTGGCCTTATGTTTCCAGCACAAATCGAAGTCTGAGGGATGCAACTTCCTTTTCTAATCTTGGATTACACCCGAGTTCTTCCAGAGTTCTTCCGGAGTTTTTTTTCCCTATAACGTTAGTGCTAAATTAATAGAGGGAAAGGGTGAGGGAGGTGCTGTACCCCGGGCCTGATGACCTCCGAGACAAAGTGAAGCGGGCCATTTATTTTAAAATGCCTAATATAGAAGCCCCCCTATAAAAAATCTTCGGGCTCCACGTACGCAGCGAGGAAACCAGAGCGAGGAGACGGGGCCCCTTCCTATTGTAACTTTGTTTAATCGGATCGGTTCAAATGGCTTGTAAAGCTGCAAAATAAAAAAAATTACTAAATCCCCGCCTCTCGGGGGGCCCCATTCTTACGATGCGGTCTGCGTTTGCTGACGGATTGTAGCAGATCTTTTCGTAGTTAGGATAGCTCGCTTCCCTTCTCCCGCTTCAGGAAAGTAGGACAGGAAGGCCAGGAGAGCGCCTCGTTATCTTCTCGTCTGAGCGGGCCCCACTAAATGAAAAGCTCTTGAGACGCTCTACGAGAAACACAACCAGATGCGGGTGTGTTGGGTGTCCGTATTTGCAGAGATTGTGTTGTTCCTGCACAGGCTTTCGACACAAGTCTCAGATCTTCTTTTCGACAAAAGAAAACGTGGGTTCCACTGCCTGGAGTATTCTACAATGCCCTCTGACCATCTCGTCTTTCGGTGCGCGTTGGTAGGCGTGCCACTACCGTGGCACGCGACGCGCTATGAACGCTCGCGCGGAAGTTGACGCGGGGGCACCCGCATGCAGACAAAGCCAAGCACCACCGGCCGCGCGTAATCAGTGTTGCCAGATAACAGAATTCTCAACACACGATGTAAATGTTGACGCAAATACTGCCGCGCGCAGGGTCACGGACTTGTAGAAAGTTCTCGTTCAACTCTTGCTGCGGACATAACTATCGTTCATCCCTGTTTTTGTTGTTCTAGAAAGTGCTTGTTCATTCTCGCCCGAGCGCGCTACGCTCGAACCTTCTCCGCCGAATCTTCGAGATACTGACTCACTCTAGATAAGAGGCCGCCCGCGACCTTGTCGAGTCAGTCTCGCCCCAGCGCTCGATTCTGCTGACACGCCGACTTCGACGCCCGCGACGCTCTGCTTTCTTCTGTTTCCTTCTTTATTTTTGGCACAAGTTCGCCACATTAAACGTTTATTTATTTCTGTTTATTTCTTGTTTATTGGTCACGACTCACCACCCGTGACATTCTGGTGGAGGTGCGGGGTACCGCATGCCCGTGCAGCGTTCCCCTCCCAGGACCCGCAGTGCAAGCCCGACTCCAAGCTCGCTGAGAAGACCACTCAGCGCGGAACCTGAAACTCGGACCAGCCGCCGCACCAAGGGAGAGGATCCGGAGTACGGTTTGCTCCTGGATAAACCCAAGCCGAAGAAGACGACGATGGACAACCAGTCGCAGGCCCCCGCCGCTCCTGCCGTCGTCTACCTACCCGTCGCTCCTCGGACACCGGCTCCGTTCCACGGCGAACTCCACGAAGACGTTGAAGATTGGATCGACCAATTCGAACGCGTCGCCCGCCACAATAGCTGGACCAACGAGCAACGGCTGCAAAACGTGTATTTCTCGCTCGAGGGTACTGCCAGAAGCTGGTATGAAAATCACGAGTCTTCATTGACATCCTGGGACATTTTCAAGAGCCAGCTGAAGGCGACATTTGTCAACCAGCACCGCCGAGAGAGAGCCGAAGACTTACTGCGTACCAGGACTCAAGGCCCCAACGAGAGCATCACCGGCTTCGTGGAGGATGTTCTCCGCCTAAGCGCCCGCGCCGATCCTCAGGCTACCGAGGAGAAGAATCTGCACCACCTGATGAGGGGTGTGAAAAGCGAGATTTTCGGCGGTCTCATCCGGAATCCCCCAACAACAGTCGACGACTTCATCACGGAGGCGACAAATATGGAACGGGCCTTGCTAGCCCGCGCCAGACACTACCAACGACACCCTGGCGTAACTACTCTAGCGACATCTGCATCCGACCTGGGCACCACCCTCCCCGACATCCGTGACCTTATCCGTGAAGCCGTCCGGGAGGAGTTGAAGAAGTTGCTACCTGCTGCCACAAGCCTGGATACGCCCTCAGTCGCCGAGATTGTCCGGGAAGAACTTCAGCAGGCGCTGCAGCCCGAAGTTCTCGCCAGCGCCGCTCCTGAACCACCGAAGCTGAGCTACGCCGCAGCTACCCGACGACCACCGCCCCCTGCTCACCCGTATACGGCGCCACCTCGACGTGAACCTCTAGCGCCGCAGTATTCACGACGCCATGAAGATCGAGCGTACGTCCGCCCAGAACAAGCTGCTCCACGAAAGACCGACGTGTGGAGGACGGCCGATCGACGCCCGTTGTGCTACCACTGCGGGGAGGCCGACCATATCTACCGTCGTTGTCCCTACCGGCAAATGGGCCTGCGTGGGTTCCACCCGAACGACCCACGCCCGAGGTACGGCGAACGCCCTCACGACATCGAGGAGTACCTCCGACGTTCCCCCTCCCCAGTGTCGTCACTCCGCCGTGAAGCCCGCTCCCCATCGCCACGACGTTCAACCTCCCCAGCGCCACGATCCCGCCGAGAGAGCCTGTCTCCACTGCGTCGTCGGGAAAACTGAGTGCGGCAACGCCTGGAGGTGACGTTGCCGAAAACGACGGAAGCAAACAGCCTCCAAGAACGCCGGAGCGCTCCCACTCTCTCGACGCCCCGCATTGCACCGACGCGCCTGCAACGGTGTCCAACAACCTAAACGTTGTTATCGATGGCCAAAACGCATCGGCACTCGTTGACACCGGGGCAGACTACTCAGTATTGAGTGGGAGGCTCTCTCGCCACCTTCGAAAAGTCACGACGCCGTGGGATGGACCGCAGATACGAACCGCCGGAGGACACCTCATCACGCCTGTCGGAAGGTGCACCGCTCGCGTCGAAATTCACGGCGAGACGTGTCCTGTGAAATTCGTCATTCTACAAGACTGTTCCAGAGACGTCATTCTCGGCATGGACTTTTTGTGTGAATACGGCGCCGTCATCGACCTTGGAGAAAACAGATTGACGCTGCGGACACCTGTTCCGCCTTCAGAGAAACTCCAAACTGCGTCAGCCGCCGTCCGAGTCGCTGCCGACCACGTGAATCTGCCGCCGCGATCAAGTGTTGTCGTACCTGTCGTGACCGATGCAGCTACCCGTAGCGAAGTTCTTCTGGAAGGTAACCTCCAGTTGCTCCTGGGAAGAGGAATAGGCGTCGCACGAGGAGTAGCTGAACTTCAGGATGGCCGCACTGTGGTCCTCGTGACGAACTTCCGGAATGAAACGCAACACCTCACGAAAGGTGCAGCCGTTGGCCACGTCGAGGATCTCCGAAACTCCGCCGAAATCGCCGCCATTAATGATGAATCCTCGCCACCTCAGCAAGACGGTACGTCGCCAGCGCAACTCGACATCGCCTCTAAGCTTCCGGACCCAAAACGACGGCAGCTGATGAACCTCCTCGCCGAATACCGTGACTGCTTTGCGACGTCGTCGAAGGTACGCCAAACAGCCGTTGCGAAGCACCGCATCATTACCGAGGACGACGCGCGCCCTGTGCATCGATCACCGTACAGAGTCTCCGTTAAAGAAAGGGAGGTGATCCAGGAGCAAGTTCAAGAAATGCTGAACGACGACATAATCCAGCCATCAAGCAGTCCGTGGGCCTCTCCAGTCGTACTGGTTAAGAAGAAGGACGGAACGCTTCGGTTCTGCGTGGACTACCGGCAGCTGAACGCGGTGACGAAGAAAGACGTCTACCCACTCCCCCGAATCGACGACACGTTAGACCGGCTGCGCCACTCTCGATACTTCTCATCGATGGACCTGAAGAGCGGCTACTGGCAGATCGAAGTCGACGAACGGGACCGAGAGAAGACAGCTTTCGTCACGCCGGATGGGCTGTACGAGTTCAAGGTAATGCCCTTCGGACTATGTACGGCGCCAGCAACTTTCCAGCGTGTTATGGACACCGTACTGGCAGGACTGAAGTGGCAGAGCTGTCTGGTCTACCTCGATGACGTCGTGGTGTTTTCCAGCGACTTCGACGAGCACTTGCGACGACTCCGAGCTGTTCTTCAAGCCATACGGACCGCTGGACTCACCCTCAAGCCGTCAAAGTGTCGGTTCGCCTATGACGAACTGAAGTTTCTAGGTCACGTGGTTAGCAACAAAGGCGTGCGCCCAGACCCTGAGAAGACTCGCGCCGTCGCGTCATTTCCAGTGCCGACAGACAAAAAGGCCGTGCGAAGATTCCTCGGACTTTGCGCCTACTATCGTCGCTTCGTTCGGGATTTCGCACGGATTTCCGCACCGCTCACAAACCTCACGAAGGACGCCGAGAGGTTCGAATGGGCCGTGGAACAGCAGCAGGCATTCGACGAGCTGAAGCGACGACTGCAGACGCCTCCGGTTCTTGGACATTTCGATCAAGATGCGGACACCGAGATTCACACTGACGCAAGTAACGCAGGACTTGGCGCGGTACTAGTTCAAGTACAAGAAGGCACCGAACGAGTCATCGCCTATGCAAGTCGGACACTGTCCAAGGCAGAGAGAAATTACTCCACGACTGAGAAAGAATGCCTTGCGGTCGTCTGGGCAATCACGAAGTTTCGTCCGTACTTGTACGGAAGCCCGTTCCGCGTAGTCACGGACCACCACTCGCTCTGCTGGCTTGCGAACCTCAAGGACCCGTCAGGACGCCTCGCTCGATGGAGCCTCCGGCTACAAGAGTTCAACATGACTGTGGTTTACAAGTCAGGACACAAGCACAGCGACGCTGACTGCCTGTCCAGGGCCCCTGTCGAAACACCTTCCGGCAGCAGCGACGACGATGATGACGAGTGCTTTCTAGGGGCAGTGAACACCGATGACATGGCACGACGTCAACGAGACGATCCGGAGCTGCGAGCCTTAATCGAGCACCTGGAAGGGCGCGGCGGTACCGTACCCCGTGTTTTCTCACGAGCCGTGCCGACCTTCACCATTCGGCAAGGTGTACTCTACAAAGAGAACTTCGGGAACAACAACTCGCCGTGGCTGCTGGTAATACCGACCGACCTTCGAGGGGAGATCTTTCAAGCATGTCACGACGACCCGACGTCCGGACACCTTGGATACAGCCGGACACTGGCCCGTATTCGTGAAAAGTATTACTGGCCCAAGCTCCCCAAGACCGTCCACCTGTACACACGATCATGCCACGAGTGCCAGCGACGCAAGAAACCTCCGACGAGGCCGGCCGGACTCCTGCAGCCTATTTCTCCTCCAACTGCACCCTTCCAGCAGATCGGAATGGATCTACTTGGTCCTTTTCCGCCTTCGACGTCGGGGAACCGCTGGATCATCGTCGCCACAGATTATCTCACGCGGTACGCCGAAACGAAAGCTCTTCCTTCGGGGACTGCTGTGGAAGTTGCCAAGTTTTTCATTGAGTCCATCGTCCTCCGGCACGGCGCTCCAGAAGTTCTGATTACAGATCGCGGATCATCGTTCATGGCACAACTGACCCAAGAAATCCTCCGACTCAGTCACACCAGCCATCGTCGTACAACTGCGTACCACCCGCAGACCAACGGGCTGACGGAGCGACTCAACAAGACAATCGCCGATATGATCTCTATGTACGTCGACGTAGAGCACAAGACGTGGGACGAGGTGCTGCCCTACGTCACGTTCGCCTACAATACGGCGGTTCAAGAGACCACTGGATTCACCCCTTTCCAGCTGGTACATGGTCGGAAGGTAACGACCATGCTGGACGCCATGCTGCCCCATGAGCCATCTGACAACGAGAGCGACGACGCCCAGGCGGTTGCTCAACGCGCCGAAGAAGTTCGCCAGCTCGCCCGACTCCTGATTCAAGACCAGCAACGCGTCGACGCCGGCCGCTACAACCTTCGTCGCAGGGACGTCCACTTCCAGCCCGGAGATAGGGTGTGGGTATGGACGCCCATCCGTCGCCGCGGCCTCAGTGAGAAATTGCTGAAACGATACTTTGGACCCTACAAAGTGCTTCGTCGCCTCGGTGATCTGAACTACGAAGTCCTCCCCGACGGAACGCGCCCATCTGCAAGACGTCAGCCGCGACCCGAGGTGGTGCACGTCGTCCGGCTGAAGCCGTATTACGAACGATAGAACTTTCCACTCTCGTCGACGGGTGAACTGTGAACTGCGGCTCGCGATTCTGCTGCCTTTTTGTTTTGGATTTGTTTTTGTTTGTTGTTTTTCGTTTTGTGCTGCATCGGGACGATGCACTTTTTAAAGGGGGGGATAATGCCGCGCGCAGGGTCACGGACTTGTAGAAAGTTCTCGTTCAACTCTTGCTGCGGACATAACTATCGTTCATCCCTGTTTTTGTTGTTCTAGAAAGTGCTTGTTCATTCTCGCCCGAGCGCGCTACGCTCGAACCTTCTCCGCCGAATCTTCGAGATACTGACTCACTCTAGATAAGAGGCCGCCCGCGACCTTGTCGAGTCAGTCTCGCCCCAGCGCTCGATTCTGCTGACACGCCGACTTCGACGCCCGCGACGCTCTGCTTTCTTCTGTTTCCTTCTTTATTTTTGGCACAAGTTCGCCACATTAAACGTTTATTTATTTCTGTTTATTTCTTGTTTATTGGTCACGACTCACCACCCGTGACAATACTACAAAGTGAGAATTAAATGAACAAATAAGTAAATAAAACAGGTTTGTGTATCAAAAGAAACGCCTTTTCAATTTTATATGAAAAATAAAAATGCTTTTGAACACTTTGAAATGTGCTGAATACGAAACAGCGTACTGTGCAGGACACGTCATAGTTCGACCGACCCTCATTGGGCGAGAGCCGCTTCGACGCCTCGGCGCGCGCGTCTTGTTCTGGGTCGGCTATAGAAACCAACGCTCCCACGAAAACGCGCGCCCGCGCGCAGGAAATGACGTCGGTTTGACGCCGACGCGCCTAAATCGCGAGCAAAAACGCGCCATACGGTCGGCGCTTTAAAGAGAGAACATGAGAAAGTTCATGCACGAAAAGACAGTGTCGAACACTGCTATTCCGGGGTGATATTTCTGGAGTAGAGTCGAAAGTTGGGCTAGTTGGTAGTTATTCATCTTGGTTTTAAATCTTGGTTTTAAATAAAACCTATCAGTTGCGAGTGAGCGCTCGTCCGTCGTTTGTGTTTCTTACTTTGTCCTCGTGTTTTGTGCGCTTTTAAAACCAAGATGGATATTGCTGGACTGCTCTAATTTTCGAGACAATTTTCTAATTTTCCTTCGAATAACTAAATATTGCACTGGTGTAGCAGCGGGGTGGAAGGAGCGGGGACTACATGGTCATTAGCTCAGGTCTAAACCTAAAATTAATCTCAGTCCGTTCATGTATATAGCGCACATAGTATCTTAACCAACTGCGCCGTCGTTCTAAAGCACGTGCTTACCCATAATATTGTGTGGTCATAGTAGTCTTCTCCACCATTAAGATAGCCATAGAACGAATCAAAACCTCTTCGGGTCGGCGTGTAGCTTTCTTTGTGGTAACCCAGATGCCACTGTAAGTAAATAAGGAATGATTAGGGGAAGACGAAGGGGTGGCGTTGGAACGCCCTTACCTTTCCGATCATGTGAGTGGCGTATCCCAGGTTCTTCAGGTACTCAGGCATGATGGTCAAGTTTGTCGGCAACCCCCACGGCTCTCCCGGACCTGGGACCAGATGCTGTAAACCTGATCGAGACAAACAGACACGTAAATGTGCAAATTATTCTCGAAGGTTGCACTTTTAGAGAAAGTTGAGGTTGACTGCACCAACTACGTTTTCAATACATGGCATTTTCAAGGCCAGCTCTTTAGGGCTTTCGTGTCTGTACCTGGGATGTAGCCTCGATGACGTCATGAGGTCCCGTGACGACCATAATAGGCGTGACGGTCGTCACGTGACATCATGGTGTAAAGTGACGCAACGTCCCGCGACATCATGCCGTTCCGTAACATCGCGCCGTCACGTGACACCGTGAAGTCATGCAACACTGTAACGTCACGTCGAGGTCACGTGGCCCCGTTCTTTCCTAATGGTCGCATGACGTAACGCCATACCGTGACGTCATGTGACACTTACCTCAAGTCAAGTGGGCATGTGACGTAAGGTAACGTAAACACGTGTTTTTCTGACTTTCACTTAGCACTGCGACGCCATGTTCTATGGTTACGTGATGTAGCGTCATGTTACATCCTGAAGTCACAGAGGGATACTTATTGGAAATTTGGATTGAGCAAAATAAGGCCACAGAAGCGTTGAACGGCATGATGCTAACTCTTAAACATCACTCGTACGTCGATAGCTCAAACGGACGGCTGTATTTTTTTTAAAAGAAGGGCGCGATCAAGCGAAGACTATGACGTCACTATACTTCTGGAACAGTCGAGAATGAGCGGAAGTGGCCTCGCTTCTATCCTCCTCGTGTCGGTTCACTAGCTCGAGGGGACGAAGCGAAGAGGAAAGGAAATTAGAATCATGATGTCACTTGTCTCGTCGGCCTCGTCGGTCGTGTTCAATCGCACACTTCATTTCCAAAAATAGGGCCATCCGTTAGAGATATCGCTGTATGAGTGATGCTTTTGAGTTTTGCAGCTTCCCGCATATCGCCCCAGCCTTCGTTTCTGAGCTCAAAACTTCGGTTTAGTATCCCTTTAAAGCGCCTTCGGAATATTTGAATGAGAGAGGCCGCTTTTAGATGAGAATTGTGGTCACTCTGCGCGCCAAGAATACAAAGATTTGAACTTTGTTGTATTATTAAATTTAAAACTCTCGTTCCAGAGCTCCGCTGCCCTCTGACTTGGGGCTAAGCCCGTAGTCAGGCCCAAGCGGGGTCAATGGTTCAGCCCAGAGCCACTAAATGAGCTATGGTTAGATTGTCGACACTCTGTTCCCCCAAATTTTTATGGGCGACGCCATCTTGGTGCTTAATACAGAGCAGGAGCAACTGCTGATCGTCATGATTCAAAAGTGTGACTCCATCAGTATTAGATCCGGTGTTAGGAAGCCCATGTTATATTGTCTTGCAGCGTCGCGAACTGCTTAATTAATTGTGGAACACGGAAAAGCGTTTTCTGTTATTTCAGATAAAGCTGTAGACCATCATAGAGCGAGCATTAGTGGGTACTATTCGTGCCAGTACCGAATGTAGACCCCCGACACCATGCTAGTTCTTTAGTTGTTCGGGTAAATAAATAATAATTAACGCGGAGAACTGATCCCACAAACACGTCTGAAAAAAAACTTTCGTACAGCGAGCGCGTTGAAAGCGGTAAATAATCATCACGCCTTACGTGCTCTTTAAATATGTCAATAGTACGCATTCACTGCTTCAATATAAACATAGAAACAAGTACTATCTTTGCGGAGCGATAATGGGCCCTACTCAAAAGTCTCTCAAGCAACACTGGCGGTCACCATTAATTGGGCACGAAGCGTGCGATTGGATCCGAGTCCTTGCCGAACGCCGACATGACCCTTGTGCCCATTACGTGCTCAGAGTATACGTGCCTAAACAATGGCGGATAAGGATAATTGGTGCAGCAGCCACTAGATGGAGCGCTCTTTTCAAGAGGGTCTACTATAACGCGTGATTCTCAGAAAGTTGTCTTGCAAGGTAACGCTATCTCATACCTGTGTGAATGGGGTATAGACCCGACATCAAAGCCCCTCTGGAGGGAGCGCAGAGGGGCTGCACGTAGTAGTTGTTGAGGATGATTCCCTGCGAGGCGAGGACGTCCAGGTTTGGAGTCGGTATCTGCGGATCTCCCCGAAAGCTGACGTCCGCCCAGCCCTGCACAATGGGGACCTCGTATCAGGCAACGAATACACAAAATGATCGAATACAGTAGCCTCTAACTATAAAATTTCTTTACAAGCAAATAATAGACATCGGACTCTCTTCGGGAACAGCAGCTGCCACGGCATCTTATTGTAAGGCAGCCTTTGGTAAAAGTTTTGAGGTTTTCTGGTGGTACAGTGACAAACCGCTTTCTGCCGCCTGCCGTTCTGCGGCCACCGTGCCTTCATCGAACGAATGGCACTTCGTGCAGCGATAATATACGTTGTTTGACGTGCGTAGAAGAGAACCTAGTTCAGGGGAATATTCAAGAAGTTGTCTTACAAACCAAACTCTGCATACACTCTCTGAGTTATGTTCCTTCCTTGTATGGTGGTCCCATATTGTCCACACAAGAACTGTCTGCAGACCACGACCTCCCGTACACTTACCACCGCGTCACACGCGCCTACCACAGCGCCTGCCTATTGGGCAGGAGATCGAACTATAGGGGGCGCTCTGACCCGTTTGTTTTCCCCACGCTCGGTGTTTACTCAACACAAGGCCTGTACACACGCCAACAGGCCTTATGGGCATGGCCATGTCATCTTCTACAATAGAGCGCGGGGCACAGTTTAATGTAAAAAATACTAACAATCGACGAAGCGACGTTAAGTGCCGGATCTATCTTCTGAGAATGCGAGCTTGACCCACTTCGTCTTTTTTGCTAAGCTGGGATCGTGCATGCTGCATTGTTCATGCAGGCCGTCGTGGAAACAAAAGAGCCCCTCCTCCCCCTCACCGGAGAACACGAACTCCAGTCGAACGCTGACGCCGCGTTCGGTTATGTCGGCCGTGCGCTGCGTCATTGTATTTGTTGTCCCCATCCGTGTAGTTGATAAGTTAACCGCTTGGGGCGTAACGGTCTGTCCTCCTCCCCAATAGAGACCGTGCTGGTTTACATCCCGGCCGAGAGGTTGTGGGGCATCTCAGCTGTTCCGCCGGAAAGCCTGTATTACAAAGAATGTCCGACTGCTCCATTGTAATCAAGTGGTTTATGGTTCCGCATTTGCAACACCAGCAGCGACGATGGTAACAAAAGCGTTGATCGTCTGCAAACGTCTCCGGCTCCCCTCTTGCTTTCCTCCTCTCCACGTCAAAACTCAGCGCAGGCGCACTTGCAACCGATCACCGCAGGGACAGAGGACGCTGTCTGTCCCTGTGACGTTCTCTTCCACTGTAAATAAGATGTCCTCCTTCTGCTCTAGTCTCAGATTAGAATCATCATGGTACACTCCGTTCATATTTTTTCTGTGTGCAACCCCCCCCCCCCCCTTCCCTCGTCTTGGGCTTAGGTCGGCAAATTTCACTCATGAGGGCCCTCACTTACCCTCACTCACCCTCATCTTCACGAGTGAGGTGAGGGTGAGTCAGTTTCTGAACCAGGAAAACTCATGAGTGTGAGGGTGAGCGAGCTTTGTGAGGGCTGTGAGGGCTGTGAGGGCCGTGAGTGCGTGAGGGCTGTGAGGGCCATGAGTGCGTGAGGGCCATGAGTGCGTGAGGGGTATGAGGGCTGTGAGGACCATGAGTGCGTGAAGGCTGTGAGGGGTGTGAGGGCCATGAGTGCGTAAGGGTCATGAGTGCGTGAGGGGTATGAGGGCCGAGAGGGTAATGAGTTCGTGAGGAGTGTGAGGGCCATGAGTGCGTGAGGGCCGTGAGGGCGGTGAGTGCGTGAGGGGCGTGAGGGCCATGAGTGCTTGAGGGCCGTGAGGGCGGTGTGTGGCGTGAGGGCCATGAGTCCGTGAGGGGCGTGAGGGGTATGAGTGCGTGAGGGTGGTGAGGGCGGTGAGCGGCGTGAGGGCCTTGAGTGCGTGATGGCTGTAAGGGCGGTGAGTCCGTGAGGGGCATGATGGCCATGAGTGCGTGACGGGCATGAGTGCCGTGAGGTTCAGTGAGGATGAGTGAAGAGCCGAAGGTGAGTGTGACTGTGAGGATGAGGGTGAGTGAGGGGCTGAAAGTGAGTGTAGCTGTGAGGGTGAAGGTGAGTGAGGGGCTTGGGTGAGTGTGGCTGTGAGAATGAGGGTGAGTGAGGGCGACCTAAAGTGCCGACTTCTGTTCTTGGAATGGAAAGAAGCGTAAAGTTCTGGTGTCCAGCAGACCAAGCAGCAGTGTCCCATCGTATCAAACTAGTGCATTGAGAACGTTTTCATGGGAAAATTCAAAACTAAAGTTATGCTGACCTTGTAAGAGGCCTGCTTTCGTCTTCAGTGCGCAAGAGAAACACACACAGTGTATCGGTAGAAGTACGAGAAAAAACATTGATCAAAGCTAACACATGAAGAAAAAGCACGAACTTCAGTCTAAGGGATGTAGTTAACCGTTAGAAGTGAAAACTTGCTTATTTCTTTTTCACAAATATGCGCGCTTGTATTACGCCTACTCTTAACTTCATTGCCCGTTGTTTCGAGAATGTGTTAAATCAAAAGAAGATTCCATAAAAAGGAATTACTGAAATGTTACAAACCAAATCATCCGCCAGCATGAAGATTATGTTTGGCGGAACTGTACTAGATTCGGAGAACACGGCCGTTTGCAAGGCCAGGATGAGGCACATCCTGTAAAGAATTTGTTTTAATTTTTACGAAACACAAAGGCACAAAAAATATACATTCAATAAGGTATTCACAGAGGGTTTAACAGAGGGTTCAAAAATTTACAGAGGGTCAACCCGTTATATTTTGTTTTGCGAATTTTTATATGCAGAAAAAACGTTTCTTTCATGATTTCGCCAATAAACCCAATAAACACTTTCAGAAATTATATAGGGCACATATAATGTGCATATAATTTTGTATGTTATCTTGTCTTCATGCGTATATTGGACCCGTTCATATATTTTTATTTCAAACATAATGGTTTGATGCATGTCCATTTCAAAACATTAAGACATATTAAAACAAACCCTATTCGTCGCTTATCAATAAATATAGATTGCAAAAACAGGTTAAGATTATTTTTAAAGCTAACACTAAACTAATACTTGGGAGCAGCCAGCCGCGAGCGATTCACTAGCTCGGGATTTGCTTCACAGCTTGTCAACTGTACTTTGACCCGATCGCGGTTGATGAGGGCTGTTTTGTTATTCTCTACATATAAACATTACATTAACAAAGCAAGACAATTAGTTTCTTTTTGAGGCAATATAATATTTTATAATATACAAGTTTTTCTTGAGTGCCCACAAACAGCTGTAACGTCTTTTGTGTGGTGCACGGTCATTTCGTGTCTATAGCAACGCTATTTAAAATACAAACATGCACAAAATTACACAGACATTTGTAAGGACACAAATAAAAGTTTGTAGAGCAGATACAACCTTACACTAACTCTTGGTTGGATAAAGGATACTGTTGCAAGGCCAGCTTGAAACCAACAAAATCAAGAAACATATCTACGCCACAATCGCATATAATATTAAAGGCAGACTGCATACGAAATAATGGCGATGATTCACTCATTCAAGTAGGATAAAATGTTAAAAAATAGTGACTAGCTCTGAAGGGCACATGGAAGTCCATATTCATTAGTACATTTTTAGTTTTAACAATACCATGCACTACCTTATGCAGAAAATTAATGTATCTAACAACACTCCTTTTTGATAGCCGTTCAAGGCTCAATAAAGGCAGCAACAAACTTTAACTAAAACAGTTTCCGACCAATGTATCCGTCGTAAATAATTCGAATAGATTTCTTCTGCAAACGCTCAATCATTTCAACTTGTGTTAAAGATAGTGAAATCCTACTAATTGAACCAAATTCAAGTCCTGAGCATACAAGGCTACAGAACAGACGCACTACAGATAATGGTGAAGTGAAAGAACTTAATAACTAAGCGATCATACCCAACTTTTTTATCGCTGATCCAACGATCTTAGAAACGTGCGCAGTGAATAATAGAGTGTTATTAATATAGACGCCAAGGTCTCTTACCAGAGATACACGATCTATCACATTTTCCTCAAGCACATAAGGTTAAAAGAAACCGTCCCGCCTTCTCGAAAAAAAAATCATTTTAGTTTTTTTCGGGATTTAAGGAAAAAGCATCGTTTCCACACCCCTCTGACATTGCACCAATATCAGTTTGCAATAAAGTACAATCAGTATAGTCATTGACATTTAACAAGACTTTTATGTCGTCTGCAAAAAGAAGGACATTTGAGTGCTTGACGCATGATGGTATGCCGTTTACAAACAAAATAAACAAGAGTGGTCCCAGTTTCAAACATTGGGGTACACAAAAGTTAATGTAAAACACTTCGAAAAAAAAGTTGCCAGCACGAAAAGTATTACTGCTTAAACTCAAGTAGCTCCTGAACCATTCACAAAGATTTGGGCACATGCCATAAAAAGAAAGTTTGCAGAGGAGTAAAGTATGATATACAATATATCAAAGGAGAATTCTTTGTTAGAAATGTGGTCGTAAAGTTGAAAAATTTGCAAGAACTAGGAAAATTAAAATATTTCACCTTTAAGGTGAAAAGTAGGTTTCATATATCAAGGTAAGATCAATATTGCCGGAAATTTAAAGTTTCTTTTTTCGTATTGATGTCTTTATTAATAAAAAAAAGAAATGATTATGGGCTTTTGTTGAGCTATTTGGTCCATACTCGTCAATGTAGAAAGTTTAATCTTTTTTAACGAAAACACAAGGATAAAAAAGAGGACAGATAAAGAAAAGACTACGCTGACTAGCAACTGCAAATCTTGATACAAGCTAAAATTGCAGATTATTTTACCAGGTTGCATACGGTTAACATAATAGATATCATCAGATATCTGCATGCATATTCCGCATATAGTGTGAACTGGTGGTCAAGTCTATCAATCTTCGCTTAGAAAAAAGGTTATTATTTCTTCTTAAACTTCTAACCAGTGGCGTACCAACTTGTTTTTTAGTGGGGGCCAACCTGGCTCCCCCTACCATCCCCACTTCCCCCCCCCCCCCCCCCCCCCCCCCAGGGCCAGGGGGCGATGCCTTCGGTATTTGGTATCCCTTGGGCGCCGCCGGCCAGTGTTTGAGCTACCCGTAGCGGCTGTTACAGGGGGAGGGTGCAAAACACATGCCTTCCACTCTGACAACTGGGGAACAAGCACCCCCCGGTTTGTACGCACATGCTTCTAACAGTAAATTTTTTCGTCTTACAAGAGCCATTCCCTAAACCCCAGTATAACATTTCGGTAACTGTATTTTGCACTAAAAAATATAACTAGAGTTGTTACTGTAATCCTGAAATACAGATAGAACCCAATAAGATTTCCAGTTCCACAATCTAGGTAGCGAAATGTTAAATTGTGTTTTGGGGGTAGAAAGGACGAGCGAAACATACGTCACACAAACAATTAAACGTGGTCAAATCGTTAAAACTCTTTATATCACCAATTTAAAGCGCACATTTAGTTTTTGTTACGACATGAAATATCTACAGCCACGCAACTGTTATACTAAAAAAGATAAATCATGAAATACCATGACCATTCCAGAGTACTTACAATGCTGCGTTCGTTCTCGGCTTCCCCATGCTCCACCTTAGGTCCCAAAAGAATTCACTTCACGATATGAATGGAAAATTAGGTCAAACAAACTTTCTTATATAATTACTCGGGCGTTGCTCAAACAGGATGCTCTCTTAAAGAGTCATAGGGTGCATGTCGTCAGCTTTCGTTTTTCATTACGCATTGCAGGTTGTATAGTGTAGCTTCACGAGCCGTAGCGCAGCAATTATACAGCACAGCTGCAAGAGCGGTGCGCCTCATCTCAACATCCGGTGCACGAATCTGTGTTGAGCTGGGATCATCACTCGCTTTCTTTTTTTTTTTACTAAATTCAACCACGTGTTGAAATTAAAAAAAAGCATCTAAACGAAGAAGATTAAAATCTCAAGTGTGATGTTGGCAACCAGCATATAGCCGGTTTATAAACCCCTCATAAGATGACTGACCTAAAAAAGTATAGGAAGCAATAAAAGTAAAGGCGGCACCCGTCTGGTTGTCTCGCATTTACATTTAAATAAGGGTAATAGCCCAGCCTAGCTGGTGAATGGTCAGGCTTATAAAACACCTAGACAAAGGGGCGAAAACAACAAAAAAGTGGCTGCCACTTCGAGACGTTGTTATGTTGTGTTTTTTGTTTTTTGATTCTCGCAGGGTTTTATAAATATAACCATTCACATGTACATTATAAATTTGGGAATTTTAATATAAACCCTATCATCCAAATTTAAATAGTCAAATCGTTTTTCGCCTTCAAAACGCGCTATTGTATTGTAATCAAACCTTTTTTGTTGTTCTGGCGCCAGTATTGAATTTTACTGTTGCTTCAATTCCCATATAACAGTATTTTGTGCGCGGCGTTTTGTGTGCTCGTTCATTGCACAAAATATTGGCTCGCAAATTGCCTGTGTGTCGGAGGGCTCGTGAAGTTTATGCTTGAAGTTTATGTAAGCTTCTTCTTTTTTTTTTCCCCAGCCTTTGTACAAATATAAAGTAAACAACATGGATACGAAGATGAGAAAGCAGAGCGAGAGCGGCGCAACAAAGAAGACGAAGAAGCAGCAGCTCGTCTGGTTTTCTACCAGAACCTTTATTCTTCCGGTGTCCCCTTCAGTGTAAATTGAATCTTCTCATAATCACCATAACATTTTGGTGGAGGTGAATATTTTCCCCCTACCTCTACACCTCGCCCAACCTGGAACTTCGAAACCGCCGCAGTCCGCTGCAGACCGAAATGCCCAATACTGGTACCACACCCGAATGCACTCCAACAATACCTGCACGACCACTCATCCTCTCTCAACCGCGAGACCCTGGAAATATCGCAGGAAACGGAGACCAAGATGTCGAGGAGCTGCTCCACCTCTATGAGCGCATCAGCACCCACAACAGATGGGACCCTATCATTATGCTGGTCAGCCTCCTTTTCTATCTCAAGGGCACGGCACGGATCTGGTTCCTGACCCACGAAGAAACCATCACTTCGTGGGATATGTGTAGGAAACAACTTGGATACGTCTTCGGCGATCCCAGAGGCCGAAAAGTATCTGCAAAACGAAAACTTGCATCCCGTGTCCAAACCTAGACCGAGTCGTACATGGCGTACGTGAAAAGCATCTTGTCGCTTTAGCACAAAGCAGACGCGGTCATAGCCGACTCCGAACGAATTTCACACATCCTCAAAGGCATTGCTGATGACGCCTTTCAACTTCTTGTTTTCAAGGACTGGTCCACCGTCGAAACCCTAGTGAAAGAATGCTGGCGATTTGAAGAGGTCAAGAAGCGCCGGATAACTTCGAACTTCACCGGGCTCCCTAACACGACAGCCACTTCCACGTGTGAGGAAACTCCAACATCGGAAACATAGCTAGCAAAAATTGTTCGTCGTGAGCTAGAAGCAATGCTCCCACCCAATGCTTTTTCCCACTCTGCTGCAGAGCCAAAAGCGATTTCCATATCAACAGTCCAAGCCGTTTCCCGCCAAGAAATCGACAAACTTCATGTTCGAACACCAACACGTAGAGCCTGGTCTTCCTCTGAGAGCCCAGCTTATTTTCCAGC